ATAGGCCCCTGAGCAGTTCCTTTTTGTGGTATTTAGAATCCTATAAGGTAACCCCTAAAAGGAACTACTTAGGGGCCTATGGGTAGGGCTTAGGGTTTTAGAGTTGCCGGGTCTAGGCTTTACGCGCTGCGTGACGCTTCGGGTCACGAAGATTCAAGTTTACCTGTAGGCGCCTAAGTAGTTCCTTTTTGGGATTACCTAAAAGGATTCTAAATATAAACAACAAAAAGGAACTACTTAGGAGCCTATGGGTAACCAGGGGACTCGAGATTCAGAAGTGGCAAACCATACTGGCTGGGTTTACGGTCTACATTCAGAGTTGTCCGTTTGCATTGCAAGGGGCTGAACCCGCGGTAACCCGCATGGCGGCATGTGCATGCAAAGGGCTGTGCAGGAAGAAAGACTGATGACTGATGTATATGTAGCGAGCGTGGGTCCACTCCAAGGGGGGGCCACACACAGATAGTAAACATTAGGTTGAAGCTTCAGGTCGTATACTGGTTAGATGATCGACAGCCTCCGTCTCGAAGTTGCAGACCTTGGTGAAGCCGTACCTTGTTCCAGGCTTGGATGTTCGGTCCTTAAAGGCCTAAAAGCGTGATTTTCTAATCCCTCGCAGCGCACTGGAAATCCACCACAAAATCTGCGAAAGCCTTCCGAACCATTTCAAGTCTTATTATAGTACGTAGTGCAAGCAGCACTACGACCCATAAATTACCGGTAGAGATCTGAGGCGTACGGAGGCTTAGGCTTCGGCCGAGGATGCCTTTAGAGTCCATGATGAGGGGTGGGCTCAGAAAGCGATCTCGCAAGCTTTCGGGTTTTCGACTCGCACGCTCGCACAAGCAGGCACGGCTTCCCGGTAGCCCAGCACTCACACTGAGAAAGCTGCTATTCAGCCACCGGCCGCCACGTGTGAGAGCAAACGACCCCGGGACCCCTAAAACATGAGACACCAAAGAGCCCTCGCAATGGGCTTTGGGCTTGGAGTTTATGTGGGCTTAGGGCTTCGGCGCTCACTTTCGCACTCCCTGTGCCAAGTCGGTGGGAAATGAGACCTTGTTTTGAAGCTGTTCAGGGTTTAAGGCAACAAGCAACCTGAACCCCTAAAACTCTACACGAGAGATTTGGAAGCCTCGATTTCAGGGCTCAAGGTTCTCTTTCAGCCAAGGTACTCCTCAATGCAGTAGCGCATTGCATCCAAAAGCTGCGCCCTTGCCCGGTGTGCATCCTAAGGTCCTAAGCCCAAAGCCCCTACAAGCGGGCTGCTTCCTACAAATTGCACAGTGTCGGGTTCATCTAGCTAGCGCTCCCCCAAGCCCCCAAGACCCAACACCCCTAGGTATCAAACAAAGAGTCAGATACTTCATGCCGATTTACAAATGCATTACTTAGAGGCTGAGCATCCTAGCCCAAAAACAAATACGTAGAAGGCTAAGCTCGTCTTTGGTAGGATTCTGTCAAACTCGATAGGTTAAAGGTTACAAACTCAGCTACTGAGAATCTTCATGGTGATTAGTAGATGCGGAGGTCTTGCACCAAAAGGTAATTGGGGGTCTATAAGCAGGCAAGTATCCTAGACTCTGAAGCGTGCAGAAACCTGTGTGAGGGCAGTGCCCACTAGACTCCCCCCTTGAACCCAGAGACTCCAATATCCCTTAATCAAGGAATATATACCTCAAAATATGATCGGAACCCGAATAAGATTTAAGGTATATTCCTTAATTAAGGGGATATTGGAGTCTCTGGGAAGATGGGCTGCGACATTCTGCCGGGATACGGATGGCCACCCAAGCCTGAGCCTCTAGCACCTACAAAAGGGACCCTAATTTAGAGAACTGCCCACATGCGCGGTGCGCCTGACCGGGTGGTAGTCGACCCCGGTGCCGGCGCCCGAGCCGCCCTTGGGAGCACCCGGCCCATCGAAGGAGGCGCTGAACTTGGCACGGCCTGGAGAGAAGTCGGGGCCCAGCGGCATCCTTTAACGTTAAGGCTTCTATAGGGATCAGACTCAACAGACTCGGCATCAAGAGTTTCTATAGCAGTAAAAGGGGAAAATCCGAACCAAGTCCAGTGCTATCTATAGGTGCTTTTTGGGTTAGAATTGCTTAAGGTGCAAGGTACCTGGTCGCTCTGTTTGGGTGTTAGGGCCGCTGAGGGTGTCTAGGATGCTATGGTCTTCGGCATTCATCCGCACCACCACTCGGAATCTTCGCTTCCCGAGGATCAAGTGTGCATCGCCACAGGCCGAAAGTGCAACATGTTAAACATTATCAGGGGTACGGCGTTCGGCCCCTAAACCCTAAACCATAGATTTTCTCCGGGACCACGATGTACATGCGAGCCCTACAAGTAGCTACGTTTCAGAGCCCCGAAACTCTTCCTAGTTTAGAGTCTAGAGGGCCCGGAAAAGTTGGAGAGTCTTCAAAGCTTTTGGCTTTACCAAACCATACCCCCTACATCATCAGGCCCCTGCATCCTCCCCGAAATCCAAGTAAACCCTGAGCCCGCCCCCCCCCCCCCGGTGATTGGGCCCTGGACCTCCGGATTTCGGGTTGGATCCGTAGCCCTTGTCCCCGCTGTAGTTGTACCTCAGCGCAGGGACACGGCACATCCGGGCCTGAATCAATAGAATACAGCTTGGATGAACTCTCCTAACTCGCAAGACAGCCGACCCAAGTCTGACGCTAGAATAGGTTTGTGATGTATATCATAGAATAGTTGCACAAGGGCTAAAATTTTAAGGGGGATTTTATTGCTGCAATAACCTCTATCTTCCAGGGCAACACATCCTACTTTACATAACATGGACGGGCCGCTGGTGACCCCACCACGGGTTGAAGGCTCCAAAATCCTGGGCGAGATCTCGATCGAGCTTCTCTGGCTTTTGCACTGTTTCTGCTGAAGATGGGAGCAATGAAGGGCGGGCCACGTCCTTTTTCTCTCTTGGTATATCGCTCAGCCCTCCCTCTCTCACTCACGAACCGTCCGTCCAAACTCCCCGCGCCAAGCCCGTCGGAAATGTCGTGGGAACTCCTTCTTCCCGAAGATTAGCTGCGTGAGGTGCACAAACTCCCATGGCTCAATCTGCTCTGGGCGGAGCTTGGCATACTCTTCAGGGAGCTTGTTGATCAAGGTGGTATGGCAAGACAGAATTCGCTTCAAGGAGTTAGACATCATCTTGCGCCTGTAGTTGAACACGGTGTTTGTGAAGTTGCGTAGGTCGCGAGGGTCCACATTCAGGGCCTTCCGGCGCTCTGCTGCGGCCTCAAAGTCCAGCTTCAGGTACGAGGTCATGACGTTGGGACGAGGGAAGTATGCTTTCGGTGGTAGGTGGAACAAGATCTTCGGGTCAGCATAGAGCTGGAACACCACACTGGGAATGCCATACTTCTTGGTGTTGGGCTTTGCGACGATGCGCTGGGCAACCTCCTGCTGCAGGATGACATGTGCACTGCGCACTCCGTCTGCATGGTCAGCCAATGTGAAGAGCAGTTGCGAAGCCACGTGGAAGGGAAGGTTGCTGACGATGGAGAGCGGTCCACCTCGGAGCTCTGCAAGCCTGGTGTAATTCACCAAGAGCACGTCCGAGCGAACCACCGTGACCCCTGGAACTTTCTGGGCCAGGACGCGCATGGCACGCTGGTCCAGCTCTACGCCCACCATTTCGGGATACCTCTGCCATAGTCTAGAAGTCACAGCCCCGGTTCCGGGCCCCAGTTCGATCACCCGCTTGCCGCCCTCGGACTCGTCATCAAGTTCCGACACCATCTTGAAGATGTAGTTCGGATCTGCAAGGAAGGTCTGTGACAAGCTCTCCTTTGGCTTGAAGAGATTTGCTGGCAGTGTTGGTGGCTTAGGCTTCCGCAGCCACGATAGGGGCTGAATGGAGCCCTTCGAGGAGTCACCGGCACCGGATTCCTTCTCTGCCACTATGACGCGATCGTTGGGCGTTGCAGGAGCCTGCATCCGCACCCCCCGCCTGCACACCTCCACTATCTGGCCCGAAGTAAAGCCTCGCACTTCTGTGATGCGTGCACCGCTGAGGAGGATGGCAGCAATTGCAAATCGCAGCACACCTTACCATAGGATAGGGGCCGTAAAAACGAAAATATTTATAACAGGGTACCCTCAAGAATAGTATTACTATTATTATTGTTATTAATATTATCATTATTATTATTATCTTTATTATTGTTACTATTATTATTCAGGCTTCGACCTTACTTCTTTCGGTTCCCTGAAGAAACAAGCCTCCACCAACCTGCGGTGTTATCCAGCGACCATGAACCGAAAATCCTATCGTAGAGCTCTGGGATCCCATCAAAAGAAGCTAGCTTACGTAGGGCAACCTTAAACCCAAAACGCTATCAGCAGAATTCTGGGATCCCACGAAAAGAAGCTCACTTACTACGGTTGTGCGACCTCTGGATTGTTTATTTAGTCGGCTTTAGATGAAACTGCTAAGGCTCGGCGTCTCGAACGGAGCCATGGCAGCTCTTCATCCGGGCGGCCACGGCGCTGCATCTTCACAGGACGCTCCAAATCCCCGGAGCACTTACACCCCAAGCACTATATAACTTCTTGAGCCACCTACGAGAACCGTGGCCGAAATAGCATGTGCAGTGTGATTTGAAATCCAGTGCTAGCCTCCCAGCACAGCATGTTGGTGTGGAAGAATGCTGGAGCCAAAATCGCACTCGTTCGAGATTTAGCGTGGGGTGCTCACAGGACTGGTGCGGACCTTTTGCCGTCAGAGCCAACTTTGGCTCAAGAGGTTCAGGGCAGGTTCACGGCCCTGCCGGTGCAACTGGGGGTCCCCAATCCCACCAGTCGACGCAACATCAAGACTCCGCACCTAAGAGCCACAGCATGTCAAGGAACACAAACTATAGTCGTACGGATCATAAACATAAGAGGTGCCGGCCAGCGCCTATATGCAACCCTCACCCCCTGTTGACGCAAGAGCACACAGGAAAAAGCTGTGGATGACAACGGACTAAAGCTTGGCTGAAGATATAGCTGCTGAATAATTCCCTAAACTCCAAACACTACCCTCTAGTTACAGGCTGAATCGTCGAGTGCTCTTTGGTCGAAGAGATGCGCCGAATTCTACCCGAAACCCTTTTGAGCAGGGACCTGCCGTGCACTTTGCCCTTACCCTAAGAGCCTGCCGCGCTCATTTTTCAGCCCCAAACCCTGAGCCCCAAACCCAAAGGCCCTGCACGCCCATTTCCCAGCCCTAAACCCCAAACACCTGAACCCTAATCCCTAAACCCCTAAAAAGGGCCCTTTCAGCCGAGACGCCGTCTGACATCGCGAGTACTTCGTGGCTGAGCAGTGCCATGCATCACCGCCGGCCCTTGCTTCGGCGGATTCGGGTTAGGGAAAGGGGTTAAGAAAGGGGCCGGAACACAACTTATGGATTTTTTTGAGGTTTGGGCCTGAATGGACATGTTTGCATTTCGACCCACACACTCGCTAAATGCAGGCATGGCATATTGCATTTAGGGTTTATAGTGATCTAGCGTACAAGGTTTAGGGACATTCATAGAGTAGGGCTCAGGAGAGCGACGCTGGGTTGAGGGTGCCTGAGCTGCGGCCTGATTCCACCTTGCTTGGCCCACATAAACCACTGAGCCGAGGCCACCATGCTGTTGATGACATCAATCCTGCATTACCTTAAAGACCCTAAACTATGTGAATTATAGTATGTTCCTTACTCTGGGTAATGCAGAATTTATACCATCAACCGTAGTTTAGTGTTCAGGGCAAATCATAACACTATCCGTAAGAGCCATCATTTGGTTTTTATCTGATGGCGCAGGTCTCAACTTATGTGCATGTCATGTCAATGTGCATGAGTGTTGAAAACGAACTGCTCAATACAGGTCTCCAAGACCTCTTTCTCTCGCACTCTCTCTCCCGGAAAGAACTTACATATATATATATATGTATGTATGTATGTATGTATGTATGTAGGTATGTATGTATGTATATGTGTGTATATATATATATACATATACACTATATGTATACACATCATGGAAAGAGAGTGCGTCACGCGAACAAAGGCAATTGCAAGGTCCCGGGCTGACACCTGAACCTCAACATGCAACCTTCAGCTGTAGGATTTTCTGCGTTGAACACTTCGGACCCGAAAGCATGTGCTTGGACTTGATGTTGCTACGATAGAGGCCTTGACAACTAGAACTGGGCTTTGGGGATGAAAAAAGGTATACGGTTTACAAAAGAATCAAGAGAGGGGAGTCTCACCAAGTAAACAGACCTATGCTTTCAAGCTTGATGGCCGCGTCGGCACTTCACATATCCCGTGGTTTTCCGTTTTCGCCGAGACGGAAGTTGACAACAAGCAGCTGGGCATGACGATCGAACAGAATGATGTTCTCGTTCTTGTGCAACATGTATTCCTGCAGAGTTCGCAGGAAGAGTGTGGGCTGCATGACTGCTACGTGGGAGCCTGAGGGAACAGAGGACCGCAACAAGGCCCCAATATCAGCTCCTAAATCCTACATAGAACCTAATCAAGGACCCTCGCCGATTTTGACCCCTACATTTCTGTTCGGTTCATGAACCACGTGTCTTTACACAGAGCGACTCGATAAACCAGGTTGGCTGCATGACTCCCGTAGGTTCGTAGGTTGGAAGAACCCGTGCAGTTCAATCTCAAAATCCTAGATCCTCCTGGACTGAGCAGTGTATATCCGCCTGGGACAACCCTGCAACTCGATGCTGCAAATGCTTGAAACGGAACTGGGGATTGAAACAAGCTCAAGAATCCTTGCAAACCCAATCGGGCCGCAATATGGCAAGCACTTCTCAATCCCTCGGATTGAAGTGGTTGTGAAGCCCTACCAAAAGAAACTATGAACCGAGCCACCATGCCCAACTTCACGCCATAGAAGCCGCCGCCGATGATGCCGATGGGGTGCTCCCAGGAGTGACGTGCGTGCTGGAAGTCCTCCGGGGCTTTTGATATAGGATTCTTCAAGAGCGGTGCCTACATATTATGTATGTATGTATGTGCATATTGTATACAAGGACTGTATACGTATACATATGTATATACAGACATACACACACACAGAGCACTGGAGAGTTTAGGGGTTAAGCCGTTTAGGGTTTTGCTGACAACATCCCTCTCAGCCCGGCCCCTTGGAAGGGGTTGGTCCGGTTGGTGCGGCACGCCGAAATTTGTGGATGAAGATGCGAAACAGCACCGTTTAGGGTTAAGGGTTTAGGGTTTCGGGTTAAGGATTTAGGGTTCAAAGCTGGCGCGACGGCGCGAAACCCATTCGTGCACTCTTGCTTGTCGGGGGCTCCCTGGTGTCCTTGAGGCCGTCGACCACGATTACAGCCTCGAAGCATTGAGCCAAGGACAGAAACGTAAGGATTTGCAAGTCTTGACTGGTATTGTACTAGACGACTCTAGAACAACAATAAAGGACGGGAAAAAACAAGGATGTTAAGTCACGTGCGAGATGGCACGGTGACGGGTGCTGCCGCTTAGGGTGCTTGTATAGGTTCTGGGGTCTCCAGTGCCTACTGTCCATCGGGACGACCTATGACCAAGTTGTTGGTTCGGTGCCGGGCTAAAAGTGTCTTCCGGCTTACCGGCTTTCTGGGAGCTCCCTAAAGCCTAAACCCTGAGCTCCTCGCAAGCCGACATGCACACTCTCAATATGAAGCTTCGGCAGCTACAGGGACGAGACTTCGGGATCGGACCAGGCTGTTCTCGTTATATTCTTCACCGGTCGTCTTTCAACTGTGGCCTGCTTATGCGGTGTAGGCGTGGCGTAGGGATCCATGTCTAGAACTGAATGAAGGGTATAGGGCTTGAGGGTTTAGAATCGTTTGCCTAGATCCCTAATTAAGATGTTAAACTTCGGGCCAGCATCCGCAGCCAGGCTCCAAGAACAGAAACCCCCGAGCAGCAAAAGTCCGCTCTCAAACCCAGAACCGAAACTCCCCAACAGCCTAAATCCTGAAGCCATCCTAACCTCAACTCCCAACACCTACTGTCCAGTATGCTGGGGAAGTAAAGGTTAGCCGTTGGGAGCATGTTGGGATTATGTAGGGGTTGTACTAGATCAGAAACGTTAAAGTTTAAAGGTTACCTACTCTACTACTAGGAACACCTCGAACCGTCTGCCCCAATCGCTGCGAAAGATTCCCAAGGCCGGGCGGCAGGGACTTGGCTGTCCATGGCGAGCTCGCGGCCATCAGGTGAGAGACACTTGAGATTGCTCCCCCTCCTGGAAGGGGCTCAGGGCAGGTGTCGGGTCTCTAGAGGCTTACGTCTCCAGTATCCTGCGGAACTCACGGTATTTTGGGTTCTTATGGATCCAGTTGCCCTGCTGCTTGATTAGCCGCGTGGCATAAACTTGGCCGACTGTTGTACTGCCTGACATGAGCATCCTGCCGACGCGCAAGCTGAGCCTCTACAGCCCTCGGCGAAGAAGCCTTGAGGAAAGCTTGTAATAAACCTTGTCTGCACAAACCCAAAATTCTACTGTAAGACAGCGGGAGCGGCTTGTAGCTGAACATCTTGTCAAGAACTGTCAGCATCTCCTTGACAGTGGTCTCCTTGGCGAGGCATCTGGAGTTTCCGGTAGGTTTAGTAGGGCTGGTACCAGGGATGTTGAAGGTGTTAAGGGGCTTAGGAATGAATCGGCCGTGGTTGTACGATGAACACAGGAGCTTGATCAGCTGACCGAGGCTGTCCGAGCATGGGGGTATTTGGGGTCTCTTGCGTCGGGACTTTTGTCATCGACATCCCACTACTTACTACTTGGGATCGATCTTTTTCTCTAACTCCCGCTGAGTGGCGAATAAGGTTTAGTCTGGCTAGAGTGAACCCCAAAATGCCTAGTCTAATTTGGCAAAGGCCCCCGTATTAGCCTTTATTACTCTATGACTGCTCCCAAAATATGAGCCCATAACCCTAAGCCCTAAACCCAAAACCATGAGTAACCCTAAACCCTAAACCCAAAATATGAGCCCATAACCCTAAGCCCTAAACCCAAAATATGAGCCCATAACCCCTAAATCCAAAATATGAGCCCATAACCCTAAGCCCTAAACCCAAAATATGAGCCCATAACCCTAAGCCCTAAACCCTAAACCCAAAATTATGAGCCCATAACCCTTTTTGAGCACGGACTCGAGCTGTATGCCGGCCGGAGCACACCTGAGCCCATAACCCTAAACCCTAAACCCAAAAATATGAGCCCATAACCCTAAGCCCTAAACCCAAACTATGAGCCCACAACCCTAAGCCCTTTACCCTGAACTCCAAACTATGACCCGAATATAGTAGCCCAAATAGTAGAATCCTTATTCTAAGGACCCCAATTATAAGGTCCCCCCCTTAGTTTCGGAAACTCCGATATGAGCCCGAGGGGGTAGGAAAGCATCCGACTCGGCCGGGAGGTCGATTGTCTCGTCCGAGCCCTTGATCTTCACGGTCACGGCCTTGAACTTGCTCTTCTTCTTCCCTCAGCTTCGGGTTTAGGGTTTAGGGCTTAGGGTTTAGAGTTTAGGGTTTAGGGCTTAGGGTTTAGGGCTTAGGGCTTAGGACAGCTTCGGGCTGTTATGGAAAAGACCTTGCTTAACTTCAAAGTTGGACAAGTGGCTCTTATAAATCTTGCTTTGTGTCCGCAAGACTAAACCGAGTTACGAGTCCTAGACTAGACCCTAAACATTACAAACTCTAAACCCTAACTTCCTAATGGAGATCCCGTTCTAGGCATTCCTATCCTCATTATGGTAACTTAACCCTAACCCCTAAACCCTCTCCGTCAGCCCTATAAGCCCTAAGCCCCAAGACTCAAGCTACCTAACACTTGTAGACTTGCAGGATCCCTTAAAAAGGGAGCCCTTAAGGGGAACCCTTCAAGGAACCCTAAAAGGGAGGTTTTCAGGAACCCTAAAAGGGAGCCCTTAAGGACACCCTAAGGGAACCCTGTAGCGGGGGGAACTCAAAAGGCGGCCGAGGTTCCGAAGGAGTCGCTGGCCTGGTCGAACCTTGTCTTCGCGGGCTCCCGAAATTCTAAAGGGGGGGAAGAGTTGAGGGCTTTTGGTTGGGGGTTTAGGGTTGAGGGTCTAAGAGTTTAGGGTTAGGGCTTAGGGCTTGGGCCATGCGGTTTAGATTCGTCTCTTCGGTTGCTGTCTTGTGTTTGTTTCAGGCTTGAGAGCTCGGGGGTCGGAAGGCCTGGGGAACGTTTAGGGCTGCAGGGCTGTACATGGACCTTCCCTGTAATCGCGAAGCCGAGCTGCTGCCCTTTCAAAACCATGACTGGGCAGTCAAACTTGTGATAGAAGGCATCCAGAGTCTCGTTGGCATAGCTGAGATCTTTTGCCCACATCGACTTGTCCACCTGCCAGCCCATCAAACCCTTATGGCTAATAGAGATGGAATCGCGCCGTCACAGAAAAATGGCAAATAGTGCGGCGTTGCTGGGAAGGCACGACCCCGTTGTACCAACCCCTTACTCGACAGAAGCCTGAAGATAAGAACAAGCTCAAAGGTAAATACAGTAACCAGCTTAGCGCAGAAACAGCGTTAAACACAGTCTTAACATGTCTCGGCTCAATGGCACATGACCAGCGCTTACACTGTGTACCATCAGTCTCCAAACACCTCTGTCTCTTCCTTACATTGTACGCCCCGAGGACGTGGAAAGCCCTAAACCCCATAATATCCTATACCATCTTATAATACCCTGAAATCCTTGCAGAAGCCCATGTAGTACCCTTATAGTCGTATAGTGGCCAAAAAATAAATCGTAAAATACCTTGACTGTGTCCCATAATACCCTGATCGTAGATTTATAGTACCACTTCCTCATAGTAATCCTTATACTATCCCTCATAACTCCGTGATCTTTAGTATCCTGTCAGATAACACCTTTACTTTCCTAGAAACCCTAAAGTACCCTTACCATGGCCCCTAAGAATCATTCACCCTACACTTAATTAACCCCTTGTGGTCCTTGGAGGTTCATGGGGCTTTGTAGCTAAGTCCAGCTATAAGTACCTTAACCGGGATTACACATGATTACAAGCATAAATGCTTCTTTGTGATCCTAGTTACTACGTTCCATGAGCCTCCAGGTGCCCTCATCCCCATCCCCTGCCGCCTCCTCGAAGTTTGCGTAGTTGAAAGCCTTGACCACCTTCAGGGTTCAGGGTTTATAGTGGTTTTTTTCCCCTCTCGCATAGCTAAGGATCAAAGCCCACAAGCGAGGTCGGAAGTGGTTTAGGGCGTATATAGGGTTTAGGGTGTAGGGGATTTGGGTTTAGGGTTTAGGGTTCGGGGTTTAGGGGTTTGAGGTTTTTCGGGTTTAGTAGGGTCAGGGCTGAGGTCTATATAAGCAGGCTCTACTCAAGAAACATAGCTCATCGGCTTTTCATCGGTTTTGGTGGGGGAATCGCAGATGCCTCATTTTTTTGCTGCGCCATGCTAAGATCCGTTTCTCAAGCGCGGGGTCATCCTGATGTGTGCCACGACACTATGCGTTTCCGCAGTCTGCTCCCACAGTGCCCATCTGCCACCAGAACATCAGGACGAGCGCTACCAAAAAACGTCACTCCAAGAGAGCGGACACGAGAGGAAGGCCGACAGGTGCATTTCCACATAACGCGTTTGCACAATGTGGTCGGTTTGGCTACCTGCTCTTGCATCGTTCTTTGCTTTATTGTTTTTTCTTTACGCTGTCGCTGTCCCGCGGCTGTGGAAACCAAGTAACGTGTTCCCAAGAAGCTTGTGCAAAACACCAAACAACATGCACAACACCATGCATTGCACAATGTATGGTGCCTATCGGTTTTCTTTCTACCTCGAACTGACCGGTTTTTGATCGACGGGTATGTTGAGAAGCCAAACTGACTCCGACCAGAAGTCGCACAGGTTTTTCCAAGAGGACAGGAAATGCGTTCCTGTCGCTGTCTGGCCGGAACTGTCATGCCTTTCGTGCCAGGTGACAGGATTCATATTCTGGCTCATTTGACAAACGACCTGGTGACAAGCAGCCCGAACCAGTTACAGAACTACAACCCCGATTCGTGACATCGTAGCAAAATGTATAGTGAGAACCTAAGAAACGCACTCCGGGCTGGCATTGCGAACACCCTTTGGAAGAATTCGCAGAGGAGGTTTAGATTAGGGTTACTGGTGCAGTATCCTAGGGGAAATCAAGGTTAGCCTTGTGGCCTAAACCCATAACCTAAAGTCTAATTCAAAGGTTTTTGTTCCCTAAAGGTTTAGATAAGGGCTTAGGCTAGTGTTTAGGGATTTGAGAACCTTGTCCGGGTTCGACTTGAGCTCCGACTGGCCTTGATCGCTGAGCCTGGGCTAAGGCCATGCTCGTCCAGGGGGCTTTTTCGGGTTGTAATCCGGTTTCTATAGGGTTGATACGGTTCTGTATGGTTTCTATGAGGGTTAGTAGAGTCTCATGCAGGAGCCCGATCAAGAACTCATGGCTGCAATTAGATTTCTTAATGTGGAGGGTTCGTGGCATGTATGCTCAGGCCATGTGCTTCTTACTTCTTACTCACCGTTCTACGTTCCGGTCAATGTGAGGGCTTGCGCTGTCAGCACATACAAGTCTGCCGAATGCTCGCTCGGTCTTTGTCTCTGTCTGTTTTATCTACTATATAGTTTATGTAAACATATTAACCAGATTGTATTCTATGTATAGAATCCCCTGTTTGCAACCCACAACTCTGCCTCGGGTTCGGCCTTGCGGCAGCACACCCACTCATCCTTCATTCATCCGAAATAAGCTGGACCCGAAACTCCTTCACAACGGATCACAAGCTCTCAGCTCAGTAGCAGAGGGATGTGAGGCGGCGCACGGTCAACGACGACAACGGCAGAAGGGCCGATCCCATACCTCCACTTCAAGGTTCAAGGGTAGTTGCAAGCAGGGTTCATAATGGATACCCAAAGGCCCCTAAGTAGTTCCTTTTTATGGTTTATGTTTAGAAACCTATAAGGTAATCCCAAAAAGGAACTACTTAGGGGCCTATCGATAACTAATGACTCTCCAAGTGCATACTCGGAGGTGAGCACTCAGTGGCTCACTTGCAGCTTAGGCTCCGGGTTCTTGTCTTTGACTTACCGTGGGCTTTTTCTAGCTTCTAAGCCACCTGATCCCAGAACGCGGAATAGTGTCCTCCAGACTCCCACCGCCTCAACACTACCCTTTTCCTAGCCTGGCTTAGAAGTTCCGAACCTTATGCCTTAATCCCTACCCAAAACATCGCACAACGCGTGCAGCAAGGCGCTTCACGAGGATGGTCTTGGCCAGCCAGGTCAGCAGCTGACACCCCACCTCAGTCTTATGATCCTCATCTCGCTTTCTCTGTACCAAGAGGGTTCAGGGTTTAGGGTCACTGTATTCCTCTATGCCAATATTCCTCTCGTAATCATTGTAAACATTCTGACGGAGGAGACTTGCCGAAACCCCAAGTTTCTGCGGCGAAACCTGCAATCCAGGCCTTTCGCTGTGGGGCCCTGGTCAAAAGTGTGGCCCGTCAGCCACCACAAGAGTTCAAGCTGCCATCCCAAGGGACCCGGCTGACTCTTCCAAAGGATGGCGCAAATTCCGAAATTCCATCGGGGAACGAAAAGGCTTGGCTATAAGCCATCGGCAGCTCAATCATGCTTTCTTCTTCAGTCCCCTCCGATACCAGAGCTCAAAGTGTTGCTCAATGCTCCTGATAAAAGAAGGCACCACTCTAGTCCCGGTGTCTGGGCAACATCATTGTACGGCTGGCCGCCGACTTGCCAATGAAGGCGAAGGGTGCACCCTCGAACTCGCCTCCCTCCTTCACCTGATTTACTTGGTGCTCGGTTGGTTGAGTGCCCGGCTTTGGCACATGGGGATCGTGTAATGGAATCCATCTAGACAGACAAGTGTCACCTTGCTGCTAGAGAAAAAGAAGCAACTTACAGCCGAAACCAGCGAACAAATCTCAAACAATGCACGTGCGAACATACTCGCCAATACAAACTACTCCTCCCGTGCTAACAGCTAGCGACTGCGAGCAATAGCAAAACAGTTGAGCTCGGTCTTCTGCCAACCTGGCAAGCTTCTCCTAGTCCACTTGTTCCGCAGTGCGGCGCTGTCGGGCTTGTATATATTTGCATACAGCCCAAAAGCGGATTTATGCAAGAGCCCTCTGTGTATTCCTCTCGGGAAACGTCCCCGTCTTCAGACCACGTCGAACCTGGTCTAGCATCGGCGTGAGGTGTTCCAAAGCATCCTTCGCCAGAGCCTGTGAAACACGACTGTGATGGTGTGTGGGTCTGTGTTAGTGCTGTGGGGCCGGTCAGCTGAGTGGAACTTAAAGGCATTACCCTTGGCTTCGAGTATGTGAACACACCCTGAACACCGGTTCGAAACGTCCGCATAAAGGGTGCAGTGCAAAGCCCAAGCCTGAAAACACATCGGCCATACTAGCCTCATCGCAAGCGTGCAGCCCTCTCTCGAGCAAGGGCTCAGGTATATGGCCTGAAGCGGTACTCAATTGCTCATTGGCCCAAACCGAACCAAAAGTCTGCTGTTGAGCCCGTGCTCTGCAACTGCCTGAGATGCGAACGGCCACGGTCCACAAGGGCAGGACAGGATGACTACAACGCACTTTGACGGCTACTGAAGATGACCTAAACTCTAAAGTGGCACAGGCAACTCTCCTAGTCCAAGGCCTAGTCCTACTGCTAGTGCTCCTGCTCTTGCTTCTGCTACTACTACTGCTGCTACTGCTACTGCTGCTAGTGCTGACATGGCTGGCCCTCTCCAAAACAGAACGCAGCCGTCATCTAAATCATCATACTGGTACTACTTGCTACGTCGACAAAGTACTAAGTAACTAGCCGATGCCCAAACAATGGATTTTCTCAAACCGCAATCTATGCAGGGCCTGTTCCTGTGTCTATGTATATGTGTGTGTACGCACTCCGTTCCAGTTGAAGGCCTCGAAATTCTCTGCAAAAGGCTCGTCGTCACGAGTGCCGTGTCCTGCCCATAGCAGTAATGGCAGATGTGCACTCGGATGTTGATTCCGTTCATGTCGTTGTTGACTTAGGCTACTAGCCAAGATATGCTGTACCATCCACCTGGACTCCACCTGCTCATGACTCGACGATCTTGCCCCAACGCAAGTTGAACCACAACAGGTCCTGGCCACTCATAGATGCCAACTTCCATCCACTTCGGCAGTCCAAGCAGCCTGGCTTCTATCTTTCCGCTTAGAACATGCAAGCTTCAGAGTTCAGTCGTGCCGAGTTTGTGAGCATTCATCCATGAAAATTCTGCTGTAAACCTTGAGCTTAAATTGCTTAAATCCTTCAATTCGTAAGCCTTGAACTTAAATTCTTCAACCTACTCAGTAGTGCCTACACCTTAACCCTTGAAGCCCTATATCCCTACTCCCCAAACCCCACACCCTACACTTCAAACCCCTGTTCCACGATTAAGGCCGCTAAGATAGGGGCCTTAAAAATAAGACTAGGGGTTTTGGGGTATCTTATAAGGAACCCCCCCAAAACAAAGCGTAGAGGTACTTATTTATTTGGACCCCTAAATCAGATCACGTGATCGTCGTCCGCCCGAGGCGCCCGAAGCGGAGATCTTCGGCGAGGTCGCCGGGACCGTAGAAGATGAAGGCCTCCATTGGTTGCAGGTTTTTGTGGGGGTTTTGGGGTTTATAATAGCATGGATATATACATATATATATATATACATATACATACATTCACATACCGTTACTATTATTATTGTTTTTGCGACTTATTGTTATTATTTATTTATTTAATCCCTTCCCACGATTATTAAATCCCCCCTAATATTAAAATTGCCGCCCCCCGGAATTTTGGCGTTTCGGGCCCACAATTGAAAGTTAATTAAAAACATTAGGGGGGGCCTAGGATTGTATGAGTTTTAATAGAGCCAAGACTACAGTAGTACTAAACTGAAA